TCCTTATCAACACTCTTACTAACCTTCTAGCTTGCAATCTTCGAGCAGCACCTATCGGAAGCTGTGGTAATTCAATAACCAAAGCCAAAACTGAACAGAATTATTATAATTACTGCACATAAACTATTCTGCATTTGTATGATCAGCAATATAATTTGCCCCGAAAGGTCCAAGATTGTAACGTACGCAAAATGAGTAAATGGAGTTGGAGTGGAACTAACATGTCTTGTCAATTGTCGCGGATGGAAGAAATTGGGTCCTACAATCATAAATTTTAATTTTGAGACATATGTGTATGAAATATATTATTATCATTATTATTATTATTACTACATTGATACTTGAAACAAATTAGTCTCTCATTTGAAACAAAAATAAATTAGTGTCTCATTTGTTTTTAAAAGAAGATAATGAGAGTTGGAAACAACCTGGAAACATATACTTTTGATCCTTTGTAGGTGAGCTCCTAACGACCGAATATGAGGCAGATTAGGGTCCACCAATCAACTTTATCAATCAATTATAAGAAAAATCTCCATTATTAATATTAATCAAGTCAAGAATAAGAGAGTTTGGACAAAAGGATGCTAAGAGTAAAGCCCAAGACTGAAGTCACGATTCACGAAGCAATGCATCTTATCCTTAGTAGTTGACTCTTTATGCCCCCCATTAAGAGCCACTCATTTTGTAGTTGTTGATAATCACTTTTCCATTTCACAATGTGACAAGAATATTAAAACCACATTTTCCCAATTAATATGCAAAACTTTGAGTGGATTTATATTCCCCAGCGCACTGCTTAAATTTAATCTTAAAATTAATTTTTATTTTTTTAATGTGTATCTAAATATGTATAGTAAACAATTAATAAATAATAAGTTTTCATATTAAATATTATTAATATATTAAATTTATAATATCAGATATTTTTTAATAAAAAATATTATACTTAAACTTTTATTATTATACAGTGTGTAACTGAGATATTGTTAAGCGCGTGAGGAAAAGGAACAAAGACGTGCGATCTTTGCGTCCGTTTGATGAAAAGTCAGGTGCTGGACCCAACAAGATCCCATCAAACTCATTAACAACGACGCACGTTGCACAGACAAGATGCCTGAGATTCACTGCCAGCATAAAATGGATTGATTTAATTTATGCTTCTCTCGTGATAGATTTTTAAATAATTTTATTATGTGAAACTTTCACATTGTCTTTTTTTAACATTTATGCAAAAAACAAATATAATTTTTATACATATAATATGATTATGTGAAAATCTAACATAAAATCTGTTTTCTTATTACATAAGTTTAAATAAATGATAAAATATAAATTTAAAAAAATCATCATATGAAACAGTTTTGAATAAAATTAATACAAGCCTTAAATGAAAAAAAAATGCCGTTTTAAATAAGCAGATGTATGTCTCAAATAAATTTAAAAAATTAAAGTAACATAATAAAATTTTAATAAATAAAAGTTTCAAACGAATTATAATAATACCATAAATTTTTTAGACACACAAAAGTATAATACACAAGTTGACTAAACTTAGTGTCGCTATAAATTGAGTTTTGTAAGGGAAAAGGTTTCAATTATCTGCCTAAATATTTTTAATAATTAAAGGTGTTATTTTTCTTTTAACTGTGTGATTTATAGGTAGCTTTACTTTCAATTATCTAATGTTGGTCCTCAAACTTTTTAAATGTCACAATTTGATTTTATATTAGTTTTTTATTCAAAATTTAACACAATTTAATGACGTTAGTAACCTTCATTTGAGGTAAAAATATATTTGTTGACCACCTAATTAAAACTCCAATGAAAGTAATTATATGTCATGCGACCTCTCTTTACAATTTTAATTAAATTCTTACCAATATAATTGTAGAAATTCAATTGAGCATGGGAGTTTGGTTGAAGTGTTGTGCTTTATGATCTCTTTAAGAAGGTGAAGTTATTAAATAGGGACCTTATCCTTTGCTTATTGACCTCATTAATTTTATTAGAGACCAAGTGACATTTAAATGATATGTTGAAATTAACGATCGAAAACATTAGAAATGAAACTCTTAACCAAGATGGTGATCAACATTATATATTCTTTGATTAATTGCCTTGACTTATAACACTATCTTTGGGAGATTTTGTAACTACTCTGCATTTGGTGATTAAATTCATGAATATAAATGACACAGTTATCACCGTTAGGGGATACCAAGTTATTGCCAAGAGGTGCTACAAGCATAACTTAAAAATTGCTCAATATTTGTCCCATGTTGAAGCCCATGAAAAACATACCATGACTGGCACCCATCACATTTTAGATCAAAAAAATATAAAATCATTAATAATGATTAATGAATGATTAAAATAGAGTAAAGTAAAGATGAATTATGAAAAAATTTAAATATAATTGATAATTTTTTAAAAATATATTTTATTTTAATTTTTTTTTACTGAAATTTTGTAATTTTTGAAAATTAATTTTTTATCATTTAAATACATGTAATATAATAAGTTAGAATTATTTTACACAAACACAAGATAAGAAGGAAAGAAGATGTTTGATCTAGCCACTAAATTTAGTGATAACCTCATACTTGAGTTGTAAGTAAGGTTAGAAGATGGGATGATCTTTCAACCTTAAAAATAAATAAATAATTAATTTGATTTAAAAATTAATTGTTTTACTGATAATTATAAAAATATCAATTTTTTACAAAAGTCTATATTAAAATAGTAAAAATAAGACTTTATTAATATTTTATAATTAATGTATAAATATTTTAAAAAGTAAAGTAAAAGCAAAGTGATAGCTCACAATGTCTAATTCTCCAAATAGACGAAAATGAATAAAAGAAGGGGAATGGAAAAAATAATTTAAAAAGATATCTTAGAGATAACTTGCTTGATTCAAATATTTGGAGATAAGAGATTTTATTTTAACCTTCTTATCTCTCATTTTCTTCTCCTCTGAATAAATTAAGAATAGAGAAAGAGTTGAAATATAGAAAATATTTTGAGATCAAATTATAATTCCATTTTTAAGAAAATTGAACCATTTTTATTCTATGTAAATTTTATAATATAATATCGTATTATTGGTTGATACATGAAAAATCATGTGAGATCGTATTAAAATTAATCTAAATAATATCAATGTCCTGATGAAAATAAAATATTTGTTTCTTATGCATAACTTTCATTTGATAACAAAAAATATTAGCATAAAAAATAAGTAGATACTATTTCATAGTAAAAAAATTTGAATTCATATAAATTTTTAAGTAGGCTACTTATATTAATATTTTTGTGTAATTCGGTGGACAGTACTGATTGTCTGATTATCTTTTCATTGCATTATTATACATGTTCTAAATCACATATTTACATAATTATTTTATTTCAAATGTAACATGATTATTTTAAATTAATTACAATAAATGAATAATAAGTTAAATATAAAATCGTAATTTTGACAAGATAAATCCAATGAAAAATAATAACAATTATTTCATAAAATAAATAAGAGTGAACTAGAAAAAAATAACTCAAATGTTCTGTGGAATACAGAATTATCTATTTAAACTCTATGAAACAAAATGATAATTTTCAATTTTTATAATAAATTAAAAAAAATGAAATAGCTATCATTAGCATAATGTAACATAAGGTTAGATATTCGTGCTTGCTGTCGATCTATATCTATCTTTTAAAATATTTAAAGAAAATGAATCTATCAACAAAAACTTCCCGAAAAATAAACTATCAACAAAATATTTGAACCATTTCAGCAACTATCAAATTAAACACATAGAATCATAATAAAATAGTTACTTCATTTACACGACGGATTTCACATAATTTTTCGAGAACAATATTTTACCTAATTAAATAATTATTGAACTGATTTAATTATTTAACTATTTAGAATTAACTAACCCACTAAGATTGCATAATAACACAAGAAGTTTATTCATTAAATTAGATTTAAATTCAATTACTCACGTTTGAAGGATGCGTAAGACTTATTTGTAGAATAATACTTTTTTAATAACAAACATCAATATTTTTTAAAATTACTTCAAATCCTTTTATATTATCTACTAATTGTTTAAAGATGAAAGTATCATAGTAATTTTTTTTTAATTTAGCAACTTAATTCATAAAAAAAAATTATTCAACGACACTTTATACTTTGGGAAGAAATTATATCTTTTTTCTCTTACATGTTAACATAAAAAGTTATATAACGTGAAAAGCATAATAAACCTTGAATATATTACAGATATTGCTATACATTTTTTTTAAAATATTAACTTTAGACTTTAGAGCTAAGTATATGTAATTAATAAAAAAATTTATTACAAAATTTTATTATATTTTATAATTTTAATGTATAAATATATTTTTTTAGTAAAAATTATTTTTATACTTAAATTTTGAAAAATAAGAAGTGAAGTTAATAGAATTTTAATTTAATTTTTTTTTCTCCTCAAATATGTTCAATATAACTAATGATTAATAAATAAAAGCATTACAAAATTACGTTTAATATTTTCTGAATACGAGAATTATTTAAAATATAAATTTAATCATTAAAATTATTGATGCTATTTATTTGTGTCTGGTAAATTAGTTACAGGACAAGATCCTCTTACAACACGTGTATCTGCAATTTCTCGTATTTCTTTCCTTCTAAAAAACTCACCCCGTCCTCAATTCCCGTGTTATGCAGATCCAATAAAAGCACCAAGCCGACACTTTTCTCTCTCTTCCCTTTTTCTCTCTCTTATTTTTCGAGTTCTCAAGCACATATCTTACTCTGTCATTTTCTCTTGACTCCTACACTTCACTTTCCCATCTTTTTACTTTATTTTTCTCGCTCACCAAACACACTCTCTCACTCTACAAAGAAAGCTGAGCTGGTTGTGGTTGTTGGGATGGCCTCACACAGTCTCACTCATTCCCTTCCAACACTCTCCGCGGGTGAAAGATCAAACATCATATGCACATCCATGTTAACACTTGATGTCTGAACCTTTAACCTCACCTCTCACTTCCTTCTTATTTCCACATTTCTTCATTCACCCTTCTATGCTCCAAACTTTTCTTCTTTGCTCAACTCAAATTTTTTCAACACAGCATTTCACCTTACTTATTGTCCTTTTGACCTCTCCAATGATCCATGCACAACCACCACTTCAAACTCCATTCATAGAGGTGAGAAACCATATACACACCCTTGACCTTTCTTAGACATTATAATAATAATTATTATTATTAGTTCCCACAAAATGACTTTGCATAGCCTCTGTTGACTGTTTTTATCCGTTTAAATTTAAATGGGAAAAGGGGGAAATAAAGCATTTTTCTCGTTATTTTCAGTTGCATGCGAATTATTTGTCGGCTGAAACGCAGGTTTATGTTTTGTCATGTTTTAATAAATAGAAAATTGAGATTTCTTTCTTTATTTATTTTGGAATGTAAGAATTTGTATTTTGTGATGGTAAGTTTCTGGTTGAACAGCGTGAGTACATAACAGGGTCATTTTTTTTTTAGGCTAATAGTAGTTTCCTTGTGATCATTGTTGTATCATCTGCAATTATAATGTAACAATATATTCACATGGCTAGTTTATTTTCTTGAGGGGCTATTCCTGATATGTAGTGTCTCTCAATGAAATCATACTGCTATTGAAAATAACAGTAATGTTAAGAATTTCGGGTTATTTGAGCAGTGCATGTGCGAAATGATATCATTTTTGTTATGTTGGTTCAGTTTTATGATGAACTTGTCCTTTGAGTTAGATTTACAGTACCACGCTCCCCTTCAACTGGCCTTGACTCCATGCAGGTTCTTCTCTGTTATAAGCCTTCTTAGAATCATGGATCAAAAAACGTGGCTTTGGAGGAAAAAATCATCAGAAAAGACAATTGTAGCAACTGACAATATCAATCTCCCTTCAAAAGAAAATGAAGAGGTAGTATAATTGTTTTTAGCATCAATTATCGAATTCTGATCACTAAATAATTTCTAATGTCACAGTTATCATGGAATATGCCTTGATTAAGCTGGCTGCTTGTAACCTTACTTTTCCTCATTTACCTTACTCCTATTCAAGAGTATTAATTTGTTTTGGTAATGAAGAGTATTAATTTTGTACTTAAATAATATCATTTTATTTCTTATTATTTATAAGAGTGGTCACTTACAAATTTATTTTCCTGGGCCTTTTGTTCTGAATTATTATGATTTTAATGTGGACCATGTAATTCTGGTTTTATCTATGCACCAGATTTCCAGAACTATTTGAAATTTTGTTTTGCTTTATTAATTGATAAAAATAACTGGTATTTTGTCTTGTTTTACATTCTCTATTTTAGGTACAGGCACTTGCAGCTGATAAAGAAGAATTGGAGAAAGACTTGAGAAGATTAAATGATAAGCTTACTTTGTCAGTTTCTGACTGTACAGCTAAAGATGAGCTAGTAAAGAAACAGACAAAGGTTGCGCAAGAAGCAGTGACAGGTAACATTCATGCATTTCTTTCTGTGTTGATTTATCCTTTCCCCTCCCCTTGTAACTTGGGACATTAAAACATGTAAATTACCACTTATTAGTAAAGTAATTTTAGAGTAACTTAACCAATCTCTGATAAGTTCTTGATTTTGAAGGCTTGAAAAGGGCAGAAGCTGAAGTGTTGTCTATGAAACAAGATCTGGATGAAGCTTTACAGCAGCGAAAAGTTTATGAAGAAAGAGTGGCCCATTTGGATGGAGCTCTCAAGGAATGTATGCAGCAGTTACGATTTGTTCGAGAAGAACAAGGGCAAAGGATTCATGATGCTGTGATGAAGGCTTCAAAAGAATTTGAAAAAGAGCGTATAGTTTTGGAGGAGCAGTTATCTGAGATGAGTAAAAGGCTTATCAAAGCTGAGAGTGAAAATTCTCATCTTAATAAATCAATTCTCGCAAGAGAAAATTTGATTGAAGATCTGAAAATAAAATTGAGTCAAGCTGAGGCAGATCATAGTGCACTGGTGATTAGATTAGAGTCCACTGAGAAAGATAATGCCTCTCTGAAGTATGAGGTTCGTGTGCTTGAAAAGGAACTTGATATCCGAAATGAGGAGAGGGAATTTAATCGTCGGACAGCTGATGCTTCTCACAAGCAGCACTTAGAGAGCATTAAAAAAATTTCCAAGTTAGAATCAGAATGTCAGAGGCTGCGCCTTCTGGTTCGGAAAAGGTTACCAGGTCCAGCTGCCCTGGCAAAAATGAAAAATGAAGTCGAAATGTTAGGACGGGATTCATTTGAAATGAGGAGGAACAAATTGAACTCAACCAGTTTACTGATTGAGTCTTCAGTTGACAGTTCTCCTGAGACTCCCAGTAGAAGAATCAATACTTTGACGGAGCAACTATGTGCTGTGGAAGAAGAAAACAAGACTTTAAAAGAATCCCTAAATAGGAAAATGAATGAGCTCCAATTCTCAAGAGTAATGCTTTCTCGCACAGCTTCCAAACTTTTGCAACTTGAGTCACAGATTGAAGCATCATCTAAGGGTCAGGTAACTGTGGAGCAGCCTAGAAGTAACCTCACATCATGTGAGTTTCCTTTGGCATCGATGTCGGATGTTGGCAGTGATGACAAGGCTAGCTGTACTGAATCCTGGGCTTCTGCATTGATTTCAGAATTGGAGCACTTCAGAAGCGGAAAACAGAAGGAATCATTGTCATGTCAAAGCATTGGAGCTTCAGACATAAATCTTATGGATGACTTTGTTGAAATGGAAAAGTTAGCAGTGGTCTCTGTTGAAAAAGCCCCTGAAATATCTCGTGCTTCTTTAAAAGCGGTTCATGAGATTAATGGCTTCTCAGAGACTGGGACAAATGAGGCTACCCCTGAAACAGTAGGTAAGGAGATTGTTCCAGTGTCTGATTACCTTGCGACTGGGACAAATGAGACTAGCCCTCACGTAGTAGGTAAGGAGATCATTCCAGTGTCTGATCACATTTCAGACCTCTCAAAGGAGAATGAGAAAACCTGTTCCATTGACATATTTAAGGACAATATTCCCAGTTGGCTTCAGGATGTAGTAAAATTGGTCTTGGAACAAAATTGTGTCACTCACAAAAACCCTGATGATGCACTTGAGGATATTAAAGTAGCTTTGAGGCATGTGAATAATCCTGATCTGTGCGACTTTGATCCTAAAAAAGGCTCTGGTCTTATTGATGCATCTCATCCTCCCCAGTGTCTTCACTCCATCTCATGGAATGCTTCAGATAATTCTTTGATGGTAGATCCATCTGGTGATGTTAATAATGCTGATGTCTCGCCAATAAAGAGAACCAAACCACAATCTCAGATAGATCTAAGTAAATCAATTGGCAAGATAATTGAGATTATTGAAAGAATCAGCCTGCCAACTGTGGAATGTGATAGTTCAGATCCATTGTGCAAAAGAGATGAGGATATCCTTTCATACAAGAATCTAGGAGTGCCAACAGGCTACATGGTCCGGGTTTTCCAGTGGAAAACATCTGAACTCAGTAATGTTTTACAGCAATTTCTACATGTGTGTTATGACTTACTGAATGGCAAGGCTGATTATGAAAATTTTGCCAAAGAACTGACAGTAGCTTTAGATTGGATTATGAATCACTGCTTTTCACTTCAGGATGTTTCTAGTATGAAGGATGCCATCAAGAAACAATTTGATTGGGATGAGACCCGGAGTGAGAATGAGATGATAATTCATTTTGCAGAGGAAGATAAATTGCATCCTCCCAAAGAACAGTTGCCGTCTTTGCCTCAAGTAACTACTTTGGATGGTCATGATCTTCAGACTGGGGAAATATATCCTGATGAGAAAGAAGAAATTAAAAATATTATAGATAAATTGATCAGTGCTGAATCTCAAAAGGAAGTTGTGGAAGAGAGGCTTCAATCAGCTACTGATAGGATTCAGTCCTTAATGAATCGTGTTCAGGAATCAGAGAAAACCATTGATAGCTTGAGATTAGAGATACAATCGTTAAAGGAATCCAATGGAAAACTTGAGAATCAAATAACAAATCAGAAACTAATGAATTCAAATCTTGACGTGCAGCATACAGAAACAGAATTAAAAGAGGCTCACCACAAGGTTTTGGCTTTAGAAGCGGAACTGGAGAATAAGAACTGCTGTTGTGAAGAATTAGAGGCCAAATGTCTTGAGTTGCAGCTCCAGGTTGAAAGGTATGAATCATCCTGACATATTTGTTTCTGTTCAATATGCATTTTGAACATTTAGCTTTTCATTTCTAATTGGAGATTGTTATATATCAAATGAATGTTCTCAGATTGTCAAAGGAGTGCTCAAACCATGATATGAACCAGAAAGATAAGCCACTGCGTACTGTAAGTTCATCTCATTCTATTTCTTTATCTCATTGATTCATAGCAAGTGTACTAGTTCCTATGTGACATTCTGGAATATTTAATCAAGATGAAGCATGATTCCTCTAAAACCAAAGTTAGCACTTAATAATATTTGGATTTATATGAGGTTGACTTGCCTTTTAACTTACGAATTGGAAGTGGTGTTGATATTGTTGTGTCATGATATATTTCCTGCTGGCTAAAGATAATTGAAAGTGTAAGCATATCCATGGTGTTCGCACTTGACATAACTTTGTGTTTTTCTCTTCCCATTAATTTGAATAAGAATAGAATATGAACTTGTGAGAAAGATGTGTTTCTGCTTTGATGAGGAAAAAATTTGGTATTTGCTTGTACACTATCAATAGTTTCCAATTTGAAAGGAGACAAAACGGGCAGGGCATATCTAATGAAAGAAATAGTCTTATTTAAATTTTCCATCTTTGATATCATTTGCTATTATCAACAGGGTCTTCATAATTTCTGTATCTTTTAGTATAAAGTGAACTCCTCTACTATACCCTACATGAGACACTGTTTGATATGTGACTAGTGGGAGGACACCAACCTGTTTTTTTTCCAATCAATTTGTAAATGGTGCAGAATGATGTTGGTAAGTAAAGAGAAGATTTGTTCTCTTATAATCTATATTCGCCTCTAGAATTCATTTCTAGAGTTAATCTGCATATATTTTTCTGTAGATTAGGCAACAGCCGGCTCCATATTTAACAAAAGTAGTGCATCTTGGCATACTATGTGCTCTTGTTCTTAGACCAGCCAATGAAACCCAGGCATAGCACTATGTCAATATTTTGCTACTACATACATGAAGTAGTGATTTGAAATTGATTAACTGTCGGTTTCTTTAGGAAACTATTCAAACAGAGTTCTGTAAAGCTTTATAAATGGTCCAGATGAATGAAATAAAACTCCATTGGAATAGTAGACAAATTTAGGAAAGAAAAGAAAAAAGGAACTACCTACCTGGTGTATGATTTAGTAAGTATTAGCTTTGAATTTGACAATACTTATACTGTGTATTATGAGTTGATAACACACCTGTGCAAATTCATTTCTGTTGCGCCTGTGTTGGTATTGAGTGGAGGAGTGTTGATCAATCCTGCAGGACTGGGAGATAACAGTTGCTTCAGAAAAGTTGGCGGAGTGTCAAGAAACCATCCTCAACCTTGGGAAGCAGTTGAGAGCAATGGCTGCACCAAAGGATGCATCCCTTTTTGACAATGTCATTGCCGCCCAACGTAATACACTTACCAACGTTGCCACTGCCACTGACACCACTACTCCCACTTTGACTGTGGATCCAAGTCCTACCAAACCAAATATTGTGAGAACGAAGAATCGATCTCTACTCGATCAGATGCTGGCCGAAGATGATACTAAAGCCAAGGTTCCCAAAGCAAGTGATGACAACTGCAATCCCACCATAATTCCAGGCATTATAGAACCCCTGGAAAAAATTCTACTTCTGAACGGAGTTAAAAACCAGGATGATAGTACTACTGATAACTCTTTGGCCATTGTACCTTCTAAGAAATCGGGAAGTGGAAGCTTGTGGAAGAAGTTATTATGGAAAAAGAAGAAAAGTGCCAACATGAAAACGCCCCTCTATTTGAACACTTGAAATGCTCATATACCTAGTAGATTGTAGTCTTGTTCAGTACAGTACTTGCCCAAAAGAAGGAAATTATATTTCTTTTCTATGTTTTTGTTGAAGGGAGTTGATTGGTTGTAGTGTGTTTAGCTCATCAATATACGCCTGAAAACTAACAACAGAAAGTTCATCTTATGAAAGAAAGGCACCCACCCTTGTTTTTAGGGACATGCAAGTTACTATGGTGTTCAAACAGTGAGATCTCAGAAATCCCTTTAAATGATCATTACAAGTTTTGTGACCTCATACTCAATCGTGTAATTGTTGTAAAAAGCATTATTAGTGACATCTTGCATAATGCTATTCTGAATAGCTCAAAAATCATGGATGATTTACAATGTGATCTAAGCTTTGGGGCTTTCACGATTCTGTGTAATGGCCAATGCTCGACCCCAACATAAACCAAAATGTTACTTTTGGGGGGAAATGAGTTTCTATTCTCCGCTTTGACCTGTGTGATGTTATTGGATTGGAAAATATTTGGTAGATAGATACATTGCATTCAAAGAGAGATTAGAAATTGGGAGATAAGAATGGAAGAGAAAGAGGTGAATCAGTCGAAGGATTGAAAGATGAAAATTGAAAAAGTAAATGATTGAATTGAAAGAATTTGATAAAATTAGTTATTGAACTAGCTAATATATATATAAAATGACAAATAAGGATTGATTTTTAGTTTAAAATTTAATAATTTATATTTTTAGATAGTTATAAAATTATAATTTTACACTTGTTTTAAAATATTTTTGTTAAATAAAATAAGTTAATATGAATTCATTTATATTATTATTTTGATAACTTTTTGTTGCAAAAAAAATAACATTTAATTATTTAGTTATATTTTAATAAGATTGATGGATGAAAAAGGTTTAGAAAAGTTGAACGTGAAAAAGAAAAGTAGAAATAGTAAGGTTTTAAAAATCGAAAGGGAAAATGAAAAATTATTAAAAAATAATAGAAAAAAATCATTTTTAACTAGTTGCTAAAAATTGGAGTTAAAAAAAAAACTAATTAGAGTAATCACTAGTAATTATACATTTTAATTCCTTTATCAAATAAATTAATTTTTGTTAAACAAACTTTTTAACTATTGAAATAAACCTTTTAGCTAAAAGGTCTTGTCACAAACATTCAAAATAGAAGATTATAACTTCTAAAGGTTAGTTTTTTTTTTTTTTTTAAATATTTAGGTAGCATTTAACTTATAACTACTAATAATTTAATTTTATTTTTCTTCTTATTTTTTTTAAAAATATTACATATAGATTTAAACTTTAAATTTCTCTCCTAGTTTATTTTTAATATAATTAATATAACATTAGTTGTTCTTTTTAATAATTTAATAAATTTTAGAGAAAATATGAGTGTTAAATGTGTGTGTAAAGGTCATAGTCACAAACACTCAAAATAGAGATATTATTTGTATGTGTGTAGCTAATAGATCAATTCTTCAATCAATCTTAGCATAGGTTACTAATTATTAAATTTAAATTCTATTTTAACTTTTAATGATGAGGAATTTTATAGCTTTTTAAGAGAAATATTTAACTAGGACTAGGAACACTTAAATTAAAAAAGAAAATTAGGGTTTCTAAACTTTGCCTTTGAAACCTAACAATTGGGGCAAAATTGGGACAAAATTAAAGTGATCAAAGAAAACAAAAATTGAACCAAGAACAAGAAAATGAAGTTGTACATGTATTAAGAAGAAAAGGTTATAACTTGCACTACAAGAGTCAATATTTAATGTTTAAAAAATGATGAGAAAACTTATATTTTGAATCATAACTTAAGTACAAGAATAATTGAAAATAGCTTTGTGAAACATAAGATATGGTTTAAGCGATAAGTATGTATTTTGATATGCTTTTGTAACATATTTTTATGTACTTAATATTTATTTGAATGAGTTTTATACTGATTATTTCATTGATCATCATAGTTTAGCATGTTAAAAGCTCTAATGAATTATTGAAGTATTATGAGTATGAATTGATAGAAAATAGGACAAACACGCCCATATTTTAGCAGTCAACACGCTCATACTTTGAAGCATATGCACGACTGTGCATATTCGTGTGCACAGTTATGCTTCTTGTTCAGATAATTGAATTTTAAGATATATTAGGGTTTTGGAACCCTATATATAAAAGAGAGATGTCAATGAAAAGATTACCTTGGTTTTTGGCCAGTTAACATTTTTGGAGCTTTGGGAACGTGTCTTGAGATTAAGAACTCATTTAATCTTTTTTTTTATTGGAGACTCCTTTAGTTTATGTTTACTTCTTAAATGACTATAGATTGGTTTATTATTGTTTTCATTTTCTATTACATTATATCAAACTAAATTTATTAATTAGAGCTATGATAAATCATTTGCATGACTTTATGTAATCTTTATTTCGATAATAATTTCAGTTTCTTTTCTTGATCGGTGTTTATCTTATTATGCTATATTTGTATGTTCAAAATTGACAATTCTCAAACATAACATAATTAATTATATTGTAAAAAATTGTATCACATATAATTAATAGATCTATATGATAAAACTAGACAAAGAATTAAGTGAATCAAATTTAATTTTTCTCTTTCAATTATTATTAAATTAACAAGTTCATAGACTTTTTATGTTATCTCTTTCTTTTGCCTTACATGATCATTAGAGGTAATAGCTTAAAAAAAAGGTTGTTAACCTTGCATGATCATTAAGTATTAATAAATTTAGTATAAGTGATTGACAATCATAAGAAAATTAAAATTAAAAATTAATCTAAAGTGAACATAGAGAAGTGTAAAAGTGTCATAGATTGCATTGTTTTATTTCTTTTTAATTACTTTTAAATCTGAATCCTTCTTTATTTCATTTCATTTCATTGTGCATCCTTTTAGTTCAAACAATTAAATTAAGATATTATTGATGTTTGAGAACAATTCTTATGAGCCAATATTTTAGAAATTTATTTTAAAACTCTATTACTTTTTGATGGGTACATTTTTTCATGAACACTAAGCCACTTGGAACTAAAGTTTGATTCCTACAAAAATTGCACATTTTGGACTTTATTCCTATAAAATATTTTGTTAGCATATAAATCCTACTTTTTCATAAACTATTATTTTTAATTCCTAGAGCTGATGTGATTCAACTATAAGCTAACACTTGACAATATCTAAAAGGGGATACACAAGCACCTTAGAGTCTCATTCCCTTCTCCATTCCCTGTCATTTTTGTCCACAACATCATAAGGTACAAGAGAAAGGATATATATATATTTTAATGTTTTGGTAGTTTTCTTAACTAGGAATGGAGTCCTATGTTAGGACCTCCTTCTAAGTGGTTGTAAGAGAATTAAAATCATGATTTTGGAAATGTTTTGAATCAATTTTATCTCCATGATATTGCATGTTCATGGCTAGCTGGTTGGTTGATTTAAAATATTACTTTGAATGCATCACTTGTTTTCATGTACAATAGTAAGGTTATTTTGGTAGCTTTTGATGATGTGCATGATATTCTTGTTGGGTGAATGACTAAAACTACATATAAGAGTGTAAGGAATGCACCTTTGGTATAAAAAATGTTTAGTCGAATGAAATTAGTGATTGGAGGAAAATTATAGTAATAAGACTTAGAAAGATGCTAAAAACAACATGTTATCCAAATTTTTACTAAATTAAACTTGAGTGACGTGAAAAGATACCTTATAAATGAACTAAGATATTATGTCCTCTGAAGTTACACGCTAATTTTTGGAAAGAAAATGTATTTTGAAGGTAAAACATGTAAGAATGTTATCACTTCCTTTAAAATATATGATAATGGTTTATAACTAAGTTTTATGTAAAAAGCATCTAATTTTTAATTTTATGATAACATAAATACGATTATGTATGGCTTAATATGTGGTATAATTTTGAAGTCATAAGAGGAAGTCTTGCCTAAAATTAAGATGTGGCAAATTGAATGTACATATAAATATCTATTGCATTTTCTTAAAAAATTAACAAGAAAAATAAAATATTCCTTGAGTGTTTCATGGTGGGAGAAAATAAAGTTTGAGAGAAAATTTCATGGGTGTAATTTTGAGTTTAAACATTGAAGATTTTGGGTATACTATTTAGTACTATTACTATTGTAGTAGGAAAAAATATCACTAGAATCTTTTGTATTTTCATTATTATTTAGTAGAGAAAATTATTTATTCATTCTTCACAATTATTTTGAGTATGCTTCCACTCACATCTATTAATTTGTTCACACACTTGGAGTGTATTTAACTTTGATTTCTTAACAAATGGTATTAGAGTCACATGCTTCAAAATGTCAATACTAAAATTTGAAGTGGAGAAATTTAATGGATTAAATGATTTTAGCTTATAGAAGTTGAAGCTGCAGGCATTGTCAGACCAACAAGGTCTAACAAAGACATTGACAAGTTATCAAAAATATTGTCTTATAATGAAAAGGAAGAGTTAATAATCAAAACACAGAGTAGAATTCAATTAACACTAGAAGATAATGTGTTGCAAAAAGTTATAAAGAGAAGATTGCATATTCGCTATGGAAGACATTAGAAGAAAAATATTATGTGAAAACGTTGTTAAACTAACTCTACCAAAGAAAGAGATTGTACATGTTTGAGTATTTTGAGAAAAAAAAAACCAGTCAAAAAGAACACATTGATGACTTTAATTAGATTATTACTTATGTGCAAGTGACTAGAATAACAATTGAAGATATTAATCAAACTATGATCTTATTAACTTCATTACCTTCGTCTTATGATAATTTATATGATACATAGGTCTTCCATTACAATCAAAGTTGTCAAAGAGGCTTTGATGATGAAGGAACAGAAAAAATTAACATATGGATTTAGTGTTGATAATCCTGCAAATAGGTTATTTGTGATTATAGGGTGTAGGCCAGAATGAGGATCATAAAGTAAAAGGAAGAATAGATTCAAATCTAAAAGTCATCCATCTCTAAAGTGTTTTCATTGTCACTAGACATAACATATTCAAAGAAATTGCCCTGAAAGAAGAAAATCAAGAAACTCTGCCAACATAACATTGAAAGTTTTGAAGATAGTAATGTTGACAAATATTCGGATACCAATACCAGAGTTAAAATAATTAGAACATAAAGAAGTGTAATAGGTAAAAAAAAAGTCTTAGACTTATCTCATTCGATTTCTCTTATGCATTGCATTATTGTTCTCTTTAATTAATTATTAACATCAAGTCTTGTTTTTAATCCATCACACTCCCTTTGCGTTTTAAACAATTGAATCAAGGTATTCTTGATACTTGAAAATAATCTCTGTAGGACGATAACTTAAGAACTCTTTTTGAAAACTCTTTTATTACTTTTCGACGGGTACATTTGTCTACGAATAATAGTGCCTAAAGGTGTGAAA